GCCATTCCCAACTTGAAGTTTCCGTATCCCAAGGGCTCTGTGGCCAGCAATCCATTCTTTTTCCATTTTTTCTAAAGATTGAACAGTTCAACGTCAGTGCACTTTTAGGCTCTGAATGCATCTCAATGAAGCTCTGTGGAGCCACATAATGAGCCAGTAAACAACACATTCTCAGCCCACACCATAACCCCATCTACACAAATTATGTTTTTAAGGTTTTACGAAGTCTAACCAGGAGTCACTGAAGACTATTGCAGCTGGCAAATATGATTGCTGTAGACTAATTTCCTGTCAGTTGGTTTCACTGACTCAGCTCTCATTTACCTACAGTGTGCGTTCAGGCTCTTTTATCTGGAGTTTAGTGGGTGTTCAGGCTTGCTGAAAAGTGCGTAGGTTTTAGGAAAGCGTGTCTGCACACCTAACCTTTAGCAGACCTACCTTTTGTGGAACTGTAGGTGTGATAAGCATTCTTATAAATACAAAAACTTTTCAACCACCTGTTTCCCACATCAGACGGCACCAGTTAGTCTTTAAATAAGTGCGGTTTTCAAACTTAATTAAATTCGAAAATAAAAGAAAACTACAAGTGCTGCTGCGCGTCGAGCAACTTCGAAGCACCTTTAGGCGCTTAGTTTGAAACGTGAATGAAGTTTAATTTCAATGAGCGCTTGGACACAAAATCTGCGTGTTTTGACGTGCTGCAAATTAAAAGCCATTTAGATTCCCAATACTGCAAGTACCATGGACTTCTTTGTTAAAATAACTCTGCTTTAGGTTTTCCTCCACAGGTGTTTATTCCTTGTTAGCTTATCAGCACCAGAGGACACTATTTTAGTGGTGTCCATCTACACCATGATGATTTTTAGATCCTCTTTATAACCAAATTGTGATTTTATGCCATATTTCATGAAAGCACTCAAATACCTATGTTTATGCTTCTATTTCCTGCAGTCTGGTCTTGGGAGCGCATTTTCAAATAGCAGAAATCACACATCATGTGAGTTGTGTGTCACATGACTACCAGAAGAATTTTACATGCAACTCTCGTTTCTCTTGACACCCTGCTGAAGATTCCCTGACCCCTATATTTTTTTTGATGATAAAGACAATGAGCTCGATCATCTTGGTCAATATTAAGATCAGTGTAATGTAAAATTTTGGTGTGCTTGTTGAAATTGTATTTGTTGATCCTCGCTTAACTCCTAAACTAAAGTGCTTCCTCTTGTTGCCAAAACTTGTTAGGAAGTCAGTTTGGGTGTGCTGGATTTGCAGTACAAAACGAAAAGAGACCCCCCCTGTGAAAAGGAAGCCTGCACAGTGATTGTTTTGTTCTGCTTATGTCATTTTTTTAATTTCTGGAAGCCATGATTGTAACCGAATAAACATTTCTATTAATTGCACAGCCGTAATATACACCTAGCAGCCTGACACCTTTGAAGTCATTGTTCTAGTAGACCGCCAAATGTAAATGAATGTCACTCTTCTTTTAGCTTTGTTTTGGTCTCCACCTACTACTTGGAGAAACATCTGGCTGTGCAGCTTCTATAGCCTTTGGCTGTCTGCCAGAGGCTGACGAGTGAACACACCAAATGGGCTGTCAATCTAAAACAAGCATTAAAGATTAAAGACACAAAAGCTGCTCAGAGCTGTAGTGTTAGCTGATAATTCTCTCTAATTCTGACACAGCGGTCAGCACGTCACAATACACAGTCTTTTGAGTCAAAGCCAGAGCAGTTTGAAACTGGTTCAGACCATTTTTTTTTAATAAAAACATATTTTTTTTGTTCTGGTGCACTATATAAATAAAAATAACAGCCTATTAAATTACATAAAGTATGTAAACTGTAGGGATGGGTATCATTTAGGTTTTATCCGATACCAGTACCAAACCGGTACTTTTGAAACGGTGCCAGTGCTTAAACGGTGCTCAAACCGGTGCTTAAAGAATGGAGAACACACAATATGTACAAAAACCTCTCATGTTTAGCTGGTTTTTTTGTAAAAAGATAACAATGTTAGCCTTTTCTGCAGCTAGAGGGGATTTATGGCATCACTCTTGGCTGGAAGCGGTGCTTAATCAATGGGAGAAAAAAAACAAAAAAAACAAAAACAAACTTTGTCCAAAAACCTCTCATGTTTAGCTGTTTTCCACTTTTTCTTTGGTCATTTTAGCCTTTTTGGCCAGGATGAAGGGAGTATCTGCCATCAAATAAGAAGACAGCCGCATGTAGCTATGATGATGTTTGCTAGTTCACCTTACCTGCATTAATGTAATAACGTGGTTAGCCTACTCAACGTAAATTACACACGAACAACATTAAGCGACTCACTCAGAGAAGAACGGCTGCTGCCATCATCATCATTTCTGCTACACTGGCAGGGCTAGGGGCCAGGACTGTACTCCTCCGGTTTTTGGGGGATGTTGCTAACTCCGGGTCCGATAACAGGCACCACACCCGCAGTAGATGTGCACGGTGTGAGGTCTCGCAGCAAGCTATCAAATACGGTGCATTTCTCGGCTTTTAACAAAATGCTATACGTCGCTAGGTGTTTCATCAGATTCGAGGAGTTACCTCCTTTGCACAGAATCACAGTATCAGCTTAAAGCACTTGTTGCAGGCTGCTGAGTTTGCATCTTTTGCTGTGAAGTACAGCCAGACTTTTGACCGCTTCGCCTTGGGCGTTTTTAATCTGTAGCTTTGCTCTAAAAGAACGTACGTACCTGGACCCGCCTACTACGATTGCAAAGGTAAAATGATTGGCTAGAATCCAAAGTGTATGACATCTCAGGAAAAGAAAGCACCGAAATGTGCGCTGCTTTTCGGTCTGGTTACTACCGTTTATGTCGGACACCGGTACCCATCCCTAGTAAACTGTGGATAGAATAATGACATGGGAGATTATTTAGCACAGAACTAATTTGAAATAGTATGTTTAGACAGTTTGTCATTCGTCACAAACCATATCGTTTGGTGACATTTGTTTAGTTGACTCTATGAAAAACATTTCAAGATAACAGTCTGACACGCATAAAATTGTACTTTTGCACCAACGAGGTGATTCCCAAAGAGCTACAAGCTGAAAACTTGGTATAGCTCAACATGGTGTGCAGTCTGTTCTCAAAGATTTTGAAGAAACTGGACAAGTGAAGGACAAAAGAAGAAGTGGTAGTTCTAAAAAACAATTTACACCAGATGTTCTTAAAGAAATAGGGGATAACTTCCTGCAAACACTTATCACAGCACCCAAACGATGCATCACACCCTTCAGCTGAAAAGAAAAAAGCATTGTCAAATTTTGAAGAACCATTCAATATGACCTGGAAGGCATTTGATTGGTAACGGCTTCATTTTTCAGCATGGCAACCAATGTGGTATCATCTTAACGGAGAACGGAAGAATCAAAAGGAAGCAAACATCCAAAGAAGACTTTGAATGTCCTTCGAGACCCCTGGAGAACTATTCCTGAAGACTACTTAAAGAAATTACAAGAAAGCTTGGCTGAGAGTTCAGGCTGTGCTGAAAAATAAAGGTGGTCACACAAAATGGTGACTTTCAAGCTTGTTAGGATTGTATAACACAGCCTTATAGACTGTGTTACTGTGCATGTTTGCATGTATTTCCTATTTTCCCAGCAAAACACAAAGAACTGAACGGTGGCTCAAGACTTTTGCAAAGTACAGTACATGCAAATATTTAAATTTCTAAGACAAACCAAAAATCCACGCACGTTTTATGTTTTAATTCAAACTTCTACAAATATATATTTATTTTTAATATATGTATACATAGTTTATTTTTTCTACCCTTTAATTTATTTTGCCATAATTTTATTCATCACATTACTTACCTTTTTCCAAATCTATCAAAATTGACCTATACATTATAGCTTCGTATTTATTTTAGGTGCACGAAATGTTATTTCTAGTACTTGCCTTTTCTTTTCTAACTGACACGTGTGCAGAGATAACATGTTCATACAGGTGCAGATGGTGTTTTAGTCATTTTCTTTCTCAAGGCATGAGAAAGAAAATGCCTTATTCCTGTTTTCCACATTTTAAATGTGGAAAAAAGGAATTAGACTGAGAAATTCCTCAGTGTTCCAATTTGAGGACGTGTGTGCACTTTCTGAGACTTTACATTTATGCATTTTTTCATTCATATGAGATAGAATATTGATTTATTTTTAATTTTATTTTTATATCGCTAAATCGCAACAGCAGTCGACTTAAGCCAGTTTACATTGTAAGGCAGATACATTACAATAATAATATAGATCAAGTCTGTTTATCACTTTCTGCCGACCAGCACCTTCAACCACAGACAAATCTCTGCTCGTGTTTACTCTGACTTCTCATCCTTTAGTAATCCACAACTGTTCAGACACAGACTACAATGTATCCAACTCTGACTGTGACCACAGCTGTGGTTACATTCCTGTTTACACTAATCAAAGACTCTCTGTTCTGTTGATATTACTTAAGCCCTGCTCCTCCACAGCCTCCTCCTCCTCCACGCCTCCTAGTCATAGATCAACTGGGATTGTGTGTGTTTATGTCTATATTATAATGTGTTATGCAAACAATTATGTGTGGTGAAAGTTACAAACCCACAGGACGTGTGTGGAGCGATCCAAAAAGAGTTTATGGCACTCTGCACCACGCAGTGCCATGAGGGAGCGATGTGGTGTGCAGATTAAATTAAAAGTATTACTCCAGAAGTGCTTTTTTAAAACTCAGTCCTGCTGTGTAACTGGCGACTTGTGCAGTTTTCTTTTTACTTGCGTGCTCCAACATGTGACGTGTTTCCACAAATGGTTTGAAGCTATTAATCCAAGTATGGGAACTGCGCTCACCTTTCGAACACGTGCTGGAATACGAAGACCCGGAGCTGAACTGAAACCTGTGAAAGTTCCTGGAGATGTGATAGAGGTGTGCAGCCTGACCACAGGACTCTAATCTCGGCCCTTTCAAATCCCCGCTCTCGCGTGGGCCAACTTACCCTCCAGCGTGACTTCTTTGCCTGCCTTCTTGAGCGCCTGGACCGCCTGGTCGTGCGTTGCCTCCCGGAGGTCGTTGCCGTTCACCGACAGGATCGCGTCGCCCACCCGGAGAGCCCGGCTCTGGTCTGCGGCGAGCCCCGGGAAGATCTTTGAGATGAGGATGGGCATCCTGTTCTCGCGCCCCCCCTTAATGCTGATCCCCAGCCCGCCAGACTCCTGTTTGACAACCCGGACTTTGCGCACAGCTTCCGAAGACCCGTCCAGGCTGACGTGGAAGTCGCCTGGTCTCGACCCGAAACTGGACCCGGGGCTGCCGTAGCTGGAGCCGGGGCTCCCGAAGTCTGAGTTAGTGCCGTTATTCGGGTACTTTCCAGGGCTGTTCATGCTGTAACCACCGTCGTACTGACCCCGACTGACCCCCCCGCGCCCCGGGCTGCCACTGCGCCCCCGACCCCCGTGGCTCTGGTTCTGGAGTTGGTCCTGACCCGAGGAATGACCGCGGCCGGGGTTCCCGGGACTTGTTCCCGGGTCGTTTCCGTTTGACATGCCATTTCGCAGGCCCGCCGAAGAGTTGCTGTAGTCCCAGTGATTGGTCCCGGGGCCGGTTGCCTCCGCGTCGGCCGTCAAAGTGAGCGTTTCTCGGGTGAGCTCGGCGGTCACTCGGATCCAGCGGTCACGGAGCAGAAGGTCCAGCTGTCCGTTTTTGTCTGCTCGGGTCCAAACTGCCATTCCGGGACGGTTAGCCTGCTCCGAGGCGGGCCGCTTTCACACTAAACTCATCATCAACTTTTTCCTCTTTTTCAGAGCGCGCACAAGCAGCGACTAGGCTCCACGGGCCCGCATTGACACACCCACTCCCGCCGTGACTGCAGGCAGAGGTGGGGGGAGACAGAAGGACTCCCAGAACACAGAGAGAGAAGAGGAAAAGCACAACTGGCTGTGATGTGCCAGCTTGTTGTTGAGTTCAGGATCTGAGGATGTCCAACTTCCACTGGAAGTTAGAGCGACTGAAACGAGAAAGCTTCCTGTCAACCCTTTCAAAATAAAAAAAGCGGTCAGAGTAGACGGCTCCTGCCAGTGCAGGAAACCAAGAAAGAGAAGACGAGGCTCAAAATATGGACTAAAAACACTGACATAAAAGAAAAAGGGCAAAAGTCCACAAGAAAAAGCAAGGAATTAAGATTAAAATTCATCATATTTCTTTAAAGAAAATATATAAAACATAAAAATAAATCACACAATTAAGACCCCAAGTGAAAACATAACAAATTGAAGTCAAAACGATTTACATATTAAGTCCAAATTTATTTTTTTTATTTTATTTTATTTTTTTTTATTTTATTTTATTTTATTATTTTTTTGCCTGTCCCGTTTGGCTCTTTTGCCATCAGAATTGTTGTCTAAAGGCAAAGAAAGATGCCCAACGGATTTACTTTACCAAATTGACCATCCCAGCCTTGCCATAATGGTCCATTTGATTCACCTTTTATTGTTTATTTTATTTTCACTTACTGAACATGGGACAGACTTGACTGGGGGAAAGAAGGGGAGAAAGAAAGAGGGAAAGAGAAACAGCTGAGAAGAGGGACGGGGGAGAAGGGCAAAAACCAAAAACCAACAGAATGAGCAGAAAAAGAAAAAAAAGAAGAAAAAAAGAAAAAAAAAGCATATATCAATCACCTGGATCACCTGCTGAGAAAGAAAAAAGAAAACAAGCAGAAGAGAACAAGAGTAATAGAATAAACAACATCACAATGATATATGGGAATATGATAGTAAATACTAAATATTAAACATTATTGTGCAGCACATAAGATCAACAGAACATAGTGTGCTTTGAGGTAGGAGCCAAAAAGGGTGTAGTTTGTGGGTGTGATCAACCGTGTGTACACCTGTGAGCATGGACGCGCTTGTTTTTTGTTTTTTAAAAGGTTCCTTCATGTAATGATCTGCTAGAGGGTGTGGGGGGGCCACAGCCCCATCCTCCAGGGCATGAAGCAGGTATGGAGCTGATCAAAACTCCAGACATCCAGAGGCCCCCAGAACACAAGAGACCAAGGAAGACCAACAGAGGGGCAGCTGCGCCACTGTCCCAGTAAGAGCTGAGGAGAGTCCCAGATGAGGGCTCACTCAGCAGCCGCGGAGCAGAAGCCAGGGGGAGTTGCAGTGACGCGCCAAATTAAGTCCAAATTTAGAAGAAAGTACACCAACTGACAATTTTAAGATTTTGCATATCAGGAAATGTTAAATAATAATAATAATAATAATAATAATAATAATAATAATAATAATAATAATCCTCACCAGGTCTTACAACTGCAGGAGAACATCAACACATGACTTACTACACAATATCATTATTTATTTACCCCAGAAACAATGTCAGAAGCAGCTTGTAAAAACGCGCCATCGTTCACAGTTCATAGATTCACCTTTAGCATTAATAACTTGGAGAAATAACTTTGCGTATAACTTCTGTCTGTCACGTGGTTGTGGGAGATTTCAGCCCACTCTTCTTTACAGTGTTGCTTCATTTCATTGAGGTTTGTGGGCATTTATTCATGCACACCTCTCATAACGTCCCACCATAGAATTTGAGGTTGAGGTCTGGACTTGGCCATTGAAACACCTTGATTCTTTTCCTTTCCCCCCCCAGTCATCCTGTTATATACTTGCTGCTGTGTTTGGGGTCATTGTCCTGTCGTATGACCCAATTGGGCCTTTGGGCTTCACATTTGACTCTGAGTTTATGGTCGACTGTGTGGCTGGTAGGAGCCCAGGCCCCCATGGCTGGAAAATAAGCCCAAATCATCACTCCTCCATCACCCTGCTTAATACTTGGCAGGAGGTGTTTGTGCCTAGAAGCTGAATTTGGTTTTCTCCAATTTCTCCAAATTCCACTGTACACCGTTCACTTTGGTCTCATCAGTCCAGAGGAAATTCATCCAGAGGTTTTGTGGTGTTTTTAGATGCAAATTTGGAAATTATTTACAAAACTACTTTCGGCTGCTCCGTTGTTCACAAGGTGGTCGTCACAGTGGGTAGCTCTGCATGTTGGATTTGGCAGATGTTATAAGGATTTGTCCTTCCTGATGGAGCTCTGAAGGGATTTGTGTCTCTACCTGAGATCAAACAAGGTATCTTTCACTTGTTAGGCGAATTTGTAAACCACTACATGCCAGAGCCATTAAAAAAAGGATTATTTGATATTGAAAAAATCAGGATTTTCAAGTGAATTTTAAACAATTTTAAAACAACCCAGGGTGTTTAATGTCAAAACTGTGAGATTTTAAGTCACATTTTGACTGAGGATGTCGATATGTTGTATTTTAACTGGTTTTAAGTTACATTTTTATTTTATTTTGAATGAACTAATATTAACAATAATAATATTCATGACAAATAATTAAATAATAAATAACCAAGAATTAAAAAAAAGTTTTACTTTTTAAAATCCAAATTTAGTTACCAGTCATTTGCAGTCTAATTTCTGACTTACTAGGTCAAAATTACAGCTTAAGTTTGTGTGAGAGAAACATCTGACAAAAAATTCAAAATTTTACTAGAAGTACAGAATATAAGATAGTTAATATTTTCACTTTGAAAAGTCCAAAGTCAGTTTTCAGTTATTGTTTGGGAGCATTTGGAGCCAATATGAAAGATAAAAATATTTAAATTAATTGCATGAATTATGTAAATATAAAAAAAATATAAGCCACTGAAGACAAAACTTGTAAAACAGTTTAAACTTGTCGTGATAATAAAGGTGTCCTGAAACCCAGAGCCTTCATTAGGTGGACCACATACTTGAACGCTTTTATTCTGAAAGTATAATCACCCACCTTCCTCTTTTAGTCCCCATAAAGCAGCTTGGACTCATGCGGCTTGTCAGAGTAAACTCAGAGCTGGATGACAGGCACACGCAGCCAATGGACACGTAGACCTGTAGATTATTTATTCATGATGGCAGAGGCGGGGAGTCCATAAAGCCATTATGGATCCACTGAGTAGTGGGGACAAAGCCTTCTTAAGTTCACTCACTGCGGTGACTCTATTAATGGATCCTGCTGCCTAATGTCTACTTTGATAGTCCCAGTACTACCTCACATAGTCAGATAGCCGTAACTACAGGAGCAAAAATATAGCTAAGTTATATAAACTCCAACACCAATAAATAATATGCATCAAAACCTGATATATGTTTTTATTTATATTTGATTAATAAAATACAGGAATGTCTCTCTGTTCACTATGAATGTGGCATGGGTGTTGATGCCAGAGATTTTTCCACTTCACCATCTCTGGAGTTTACAGAGAATGGTCTAAAAAAGAGAAAATATCTAGTGAGCAGCAGTTCACGTTGATGCCAGAGGTCAGAGGAGAATGTCCACACAGGAAGGCAACAGTGAGTCAAATAACTACTTGTTACAACCAAGGTATGCAGAAGAGCATCCCCGAAGACACAACATGTCAAACCTTGATAGGAGATGGCTACAGAAACAGAAGACCACACCAGGTTCCTCTCCTGTCAGCTGAGAACAGGAAACTGAGGCTACGGTTCCCACAGATTCAGAATACTTTATTAATCCATTAATTTAATTATTTTTTAAAAAGCACTCTGTTTATTATTATTAAAATTAGACTGTGGTAAGATCATCATTTTATCTTGATAGCTACTTTTGTCATTTATAATCTGCTGTTTTATCCGTAATCTGAACCAAAGTGGGTTCCACATTAGAGCATCATTAGTTTCCATTATAAAGACATTTTTAATGCGCTGTGGAGGAAAAACCTTTTGTTCCTCATGTTCCATATCCACATCACTTGTGATCACAGTATGATAAGTCATCATTATTATTTTAACTGTTCTCATTATTGCCCTCTGGCCTGATGGAGATCAGTGATAGTATGACAGGATTCTTAACGTTTGTACATTAAAGACATTTTCCTTTTACAGCAGCTAATCCGGTTACTGTAATCAGATGTTCCTGGTTATTAAGATAATCACAAATTACATGAGGTTTCCCAGCTGTTAGCAGAGGCTGGACTAAGTGTAGGTAAATACAAAAATATTTGTTGGTGAGACCTACAGTGTCACAACATGACTTCTCCACCCTTGTGTCTGTGCTCTTTGCCACCGGCAGAGTCACATCTGTGACTTGATTTACCTTCATCAATTTTGAATGAAAGAAGCTCAGCTGCTACATCAGTCATGTTTCCATAGATCTTTCTGTGTGTAGATAAAACAACAATACGCTCGCTTTCAAAAAAGGGTTCAACATTATAACCGTCATGAAGGCAGGGTTTATTGTAGGACTGCTGCACCGACTGCCTTCAGGCATGTTATTCTATTCAAGTGAGATCTCCGCAGTTAGCAGGTGGGTTGTTCAGCGGTTCCAGTCTTTAAGTAATACTAAAGTTGTTAATTTGAATTTTGGATTTACTTTTGTCTTACATAGAAAATGTTTTCTGGTAAGGTTTTTAGAGCTTCGAGTCTCTGCAACTTTCCCGAGACACTCCACCTGTGGACTGAAGGTTTGAAGGTGAAGTCCCAGGTTGTCCAATCCCAAAGCTGGATCCAAACCATGCCAGAACAATCCTCCCACAGCATGACAGTCACCGGATCTGGCCTGTGCTGTCCTCAGGAAGTACACCTCACATGCACTTGCCCGCTTGTTTAGAATATAGCGAAGGATAACTCAGCTGACTCTGTCCGTTTTTCCACATCTGTAAAGAGCAGTGATTGTTCTACAGCATCTGAGGAAGAGCCGCCCATCTGTTTTCCCTTACATGTTCCAAGCTGGAGCGTCAAAGTCGTGAAACAAGCTGTTTCCTCATTTCTGTCCCATAGATCCACACGGCCGTGTCACATTATTCACATTGTCCTATTGAAACCGCATCAAACTGCTTCACCCGTCCTCTGTTACCCCAACAGTGATTCTTCTGCCACAATTCCAGCTTTTCCTCATGACTTCTGAGAGAATAATCAGACAAATGCACTGCAGTCTGAGAGTTGGTGCACTTTAAGGCCAGCATTTACATGTATGTACTGTAAACAGCTGAGCATCATGAGCAGGTGAAAGAAAACTG